ACCTAACATTCTCGTACATGTCTCCTTATACCCGCATGTTGAGATGCTCTGTCTAAGAAATTTCTGGGCTGCAGAACACGAGCATCTAGATTTTCATCGCCAAACTGCCCTCCAGGGTGGCTGCCTCCCCCGCCTCCGGGATTCTCCTGGCCGCGTCCTCTCGTTCACTCTGCGGCCCTGCTAGTCCCTAGTTTTTGCCTGTCTGGAAAACAGGAGCCGACACTGCACTTTGACTCATTTGGCTCTGAACGTCCTGATCTCCAGTGAGTGTGAGCAGGTCTGTTCATGTCCATGGCCCATTTTTTTGTTAGGTAGTTTGTGCCTTACTGATTCTTAGGGGGATCTAACATGTACGTGTATGTAGTGGACACTAACCCTGTGTAAGTCACGTATGTGCTGCACATGCTTTTGCTAGTCTACGACTTAGATTCCCCTTAATTCTTCTGCCTTTGTCACATGTAAGTTTAAAATTTTTGTGTTGTCAAATTTATTGAGTTCTTAAAATTATGCTTTATGCTTTTAAGGTTTTGCTTTTACATGTTAAATTTGGTGCTGTGGGTGGCATGAGACAGGGACCTAAGTGGACTTTTCTGTGCAGCTAGCCACTTGGGTCAGGGCTGCCCCCTGAGTAATGCACCTTTGTCCCAGGGACCCGCCTTCCCCACCTGCTGTGGGTCAGTACCCACATTAGTATGGGCACATCTGGTTCTCTGCTCACAGGTCCTCTGTCTTGGGCCCCGATCACATGGCCTTTATTACTCTCACAGAATGTCCCCGTATCTGATGTAAATCTTCACCTTTTTCCATAAGCTCCGGGTCATCTTGCTGTTCTTGGTCCTTTGCTCTTCAATATCAACTTTAGAATAAGCTTCATATGCCACAAAAACCTGGTTGGAGTTTCTATTAGAAATACATCGAGCTCATAAATTAAAATGGAAGGAAGCTGACGTGTTTTCGATCATGAATCTTTTTGTCCATTAACCTAGTTTATCTCTCTGTCCAATTAGGTTTTCTTTTACCTCTTTCAAAGCACTTATGTCTTTGCCATAACCGTCTGGCACACATTGGGTACATTGCTGGCTGATGGGCAGGGTGGCTCCACTCACCCTAAGGCTGCTTGCCCGCCTGTGGCCTTTCCTTGGCTCTGCCTGGGTGGGAGGGGCACCGAGTGCCGGCGTTCCCCGGGCACATGGCTTCGGTCACCGGGCTGCTTTCTTTGGTGCAAGCTTTGCCGCGTGCCTCCTGCCTTATTAGACAGCTTACCGGGGGTAGTAAACCTCTGCAGACCTGGAGATTCCAGCTGTCTGATCCAGCCGCAGAGGGATGGGGGCTTTTTTATGGTCATTTCCAAGGGCATCCGGGCTCTTGTGTGAATTGTCTGTTTCTCAGCCAGGGAGATTTATGATTTTTTTAAATGGTACTAGTTATAGGAACAGTGTTCCTCCTTGACCTCCAGGTTCCCTGACTCGGGATCCTGACTTTATTCCAGGTGAGCAATTTGGGAAGAGACCTGGCTAACGGACTTCGTTCTCAGAGAGGCCGTGGGCCTGTGTACGCCCTGTGCAGGTGCAGCCCTGACCTCACTTATGGCTGTTCTGTCTGCCTGGTGTCACCAGGCCATGGTGCAGAGGCCATGGTGCAGAGGCTGGCACTGTTGCCCCAGGGGTTGTGCAGCAGAAGCCCGGCCTGCCTCACGCTCTCTGGTGCATCGTGCCTCTCAGGGATCAGGGGCCACTCACTGGCGGTGACCTGGAGGTCCTGGGGAGACTCGCTTCTTGCCTGTCACCTTTACTGCCAATCCTGTACCTATTGGGCTGAAGGCAGGCCTAGGGAGTGTGCAGCCACGCGTGACATGCCGTCCCACAGTGGCACTGGGCTCTGGCTGGGACTTCCTGAGCAGATGGTTCTGGAAGGAGAAAGGCAGGGTGAGCATTCCCCTGACCACAGTGGGGAGCAGCACACAGGCACAGCAGCGGGCAGGTGCTGGCCCTCATCACGTCCGCACTGGGGACCAAAGCCCTGTAGTGGACACTTCCTGCTTGTCAGACCCTGTTCCAACCTGCGGGATGTCCTAGAGAAATCCCACCCACTTGGGGCCCTCACAGAGTGTGACCCCGCCTAGGCTGCTGTGGAAGGTCACCACGGGAACACCAGGCGCCAGACGCTGCCTCTGTACTGTGCGGGTCATGAACGTGGCCAAGTGTGGACCGAGGCCCTGGGGCTTGTAAGGCAGCTGGGGGAAGAAGCCCCCGAAGGGGGCTGGCGGGCTGGGGTCAGATGTGCTCACTTCCAGTTAAGAGGGGCTGAGGGGAGGTTGCAGGGAGATTTGGAGGAAAGAGGAGTCGTGGGGAAGTGTGGAAAGGCCCATGGGGGCGTTGGGAGGGAGGGCAGGGCTGGGCAGGACACAGGGCGGACCGACTGAGGGTCCAGAGCCCACAGGCCGTGGTGCCCTGCGTGATGAGCAAGGAGCTGCCACAGAGCAGGCCCGGCAGTCCCTGACCGAGACCCCGTGCTGGGGCCGCTGCCGGCGGCCGGCCCTGGCCTCTCGGGCTCCGCCTGCCGCTGCTGGAGGAGGACTGGGAGCCGCCCCCTGGCCCTCCCATGTGGCTCCAGAGCGCAGGCTGGCCCGGGCAGGGCCGCGGGTCCCTCTGTGGAGCCAGCAGCCTTCTTCCCCTGCCTTCTCTCCCCAGCCACCTTCCGGGCTGCGCCCTCCCCACGGAGGCCCCTGGAGTGGCCGCTTGGCGCTGGTGGGAGACCCCATGGCCCTGCCTGAACCGAGGGCCTCTGTGAGATGGTGTGGAAGCTTCTCCCGTCTGCCTGGAAGGAGGCGCGGCTTCCTGCACAGGTGCGGGGGCCGCACGGAGCCTCCTGTTCCTGCCTGGTGGTGGGGGAGCTGCTCTGCTTTCTCAGTGGGCAAGACAGGGTCATGCTGAAGTGACCTGAAATATCTGCCAGAACGTTCTCCCCCACTGTTGTGTTAATCAGGTCAGGATTCATCGCTCAGAACCCTGAGAGCCCACCTCTGACCTGGCAGAGCAGATACTGCGTGGCCCCCTGCAGAGGGGAAGGGTGGACGGCTGCCCTGGGGTGGTGGCCTGCGGCCTCTAGAGCCTTGACTGCCCTGTCCCACCTGGATGCCCTTGCGCTCCCCTGCCCCCGCTCACCCCGCCCACGGGACATCTTCCCTGTGCGTGCCCAGCTGCACGCCCGCCCTCGGCCTGCAGGATGGGGGCCCAGGCCCCAGGAGCAGAGCAGGGCCGTGGTCACAGTTGTCCACGCTGGACATGCCCAGTATCTGGAGCCATCCGTGCTCTCGGGGGTGTGTGCTAAGTGCTGGTTCTGGCCCCAGGGCTGTGGCCATGGGGACAGATGAGCGAGAAGCAGAACAGGCCCAGTGTCCAGAGCAGCGTGTCAAGAGCAGCGCGGAGTGTCCCTTGGGACAGTCACCTGGGGCCAAGACTGGCCAGGTGGGTGGGGCCTTGAATGCCTTGAGGGCGAAATGCAGCTGAATCTCCGACAGCCCCAGGGTCTTCAGCTGAGCAGTGGTAAGGAAGCCGTGCCTGTTCAGGCCTCTCTGCCCCTCACCCCATCACTTTGCCCCCATCACTCCGGCCGGAAGAGGGCCGTCCTCGTACTAGTCTGTCCCAGTGTTACCAGCTGATCTGGTGGGCGGGGCAGCCGAGCACCCACCCGCTGGTGTGCAGAGCGTCCTGTGCGATGGCGCTCCCCTGGTCTGGGCATGTGGGTCTTCATTTGACCTGCCTGAGACTCCTGGTCCTGGGGTTTAAGGGAGGGAAACGGCTTCTGTGCCTCCGCCCCACCCGTTCCCCCCCACCTCAGCGGCAGACAGGCCTGTCACAGATGCCTTCCCAGCTCTGTGGTTCTCCCTCCCCTCCCCTCCCCTCCCCTTCTAGTCTGGAGCCTGGGGGGGGGTGCATGGCCTGGATTTGCAGGCCAGGCCTGGTGCGCCACGGCTAGAAGGCCTGGTCTGGGTCAGGCGTCCTCCCAGGGCTGGCCCACGTGGCCGAGCCCGCCTACCCACTCTGAACGGCCCCCAGCGCCCTACTTGCCTTGGGCTGGCACCGCATCATCCAGCTGCACCCCGACCTGCCCCAGGGTTGGGGGGGCACTTCTGGGAGTCACACCCTCTTCCCTTGCAGAGCTCTGCCTGACGGCCAGCGCCACCCGGCTCGGTTGGAGATGGCTGCTTGGCTGGCTGACTGCACCCGTCAGTTAGGCCCTGGCTGGGTGTGTGGGCCTGGAGAGGACGCAGCCCGGGTCCTCCGTGGGCTCAGGCCATGGGCTGCCTGTGCTGTGTGGGCAGCGCCGGCGAGGCCCAGCCGCCCCATCATGCCCTGTGCGGCCGATGATGTTTATTGTCTAGGTTAAGCTTCATTAAAGCAGAAGCGCATTTTCCATTATGATATGAATTTTTTATTTATTAAATCACTATTTCAATATAATTTACCAAGTCACTGAAGACAAATAATCCACTTAAGAGAAGCTGTAAAACTCCATTTTTCCTGAATGCTATGCTCCTGTGGAAGCATGCTTATTCTGTCTCCTGCTCGCCTCTTGCCGACAGCTCGTGGGGCTGAAGAGTTCCCGCTTCCCCTGCCCCCCCCCTCCTTTCTGTGGGAAGAGCAAGAGCCCTCTGGTCAGCTCGGCTTCTGTGGGCTGTTCCCTCGCTGGGCAGGCCGCGGCCCTCCTGCAGGGCTGCCGTGTAGAATCAGTCTCGAAGGATGTGTCTTTCCTGTCGTTGGCTCAGCACTTCTGCCAGAGAAGAAAATGCCGACTGGTCTGCCATTCACGTCGGTCAGGCTGCTGGCACCTAAAGAGAAAATCCTACTTATTTTAATAAGGCGAGCATTTTGAAATCGAGGCATGCAGTGGAGGCGAGTGAGTCAGCACGCTGCGCCCGGCTGACCCCCGACCGAGTGGCTGGCGCGCCGTCCGCCCGCTGCCCGCCTCACATCTCTGGCCTGTGTTCTCTCTTGCAGTCAGAACCGGAGGGCTTCTCCCACTTCCACCTGTACGTGTGTGCTGCCTTCCTCGTGAGGTGGCGGAAGGAGATTCTAGAAGAAAGAGACTTTCAAGTAAGTGAATGCCTTTTCAAAGACCCCCAGTGGGGTTTTCTGCTGAGTTCTCAGGGTTATTTGTGGGAGAGCCGAGCTGCTGCGTGGAAGCTCGTCAGGCCGGGCCAGGTCCAGCCGTGGCCACGCGGCGCTGTTCCCCCAGGCTGTGTCCTGCTGCCCGGAGAATCCCTCCAGGGCCCCGTGATCTCCGCAGATGCTGGAGGGGCCGCGGACCGGCAGCTGGGCGCTGATGCGGTGGGGAGGGTGCCGAGGCTGCCGTGGTCCCAGAAATTGCTCTCGAGCCCCAGCTCTGGGCAGCCCCATGCCGCACATGCCTGAGGCGTGGCCCTCCCTGCACTGGTGCCCACATTCTTGTTGGGGAGAGAGGCTCTTAAACAGATGAGTGACTCCATGCAAGGCTTTGCCACCCACCCGCCATTTCTCCTGCCTGCTCCCTACAGAGGGCCAGTACCCCCAGGTCCCTCATCTGCAGGGAGGCCCAGCCAGACTGGACACACACTGGCCACAGTGAGTGTGCTGGGCAGTCGTGTTCTCCATAGGAAGTGCTGCAAAGGGGCCGGTGTGGGACGGTGAGCCCCGCCTGGGCTGGGAGACAGGAGTTGGAGCAGCCTGGATGCAAGGGTGCGTGAGCTGCGTTTGGGCTGTGCCTGGCCAGGAGTTAGTATCAGGGTGGCCCTTGGCCCCTCCTGGACTGTCTGTTTGCGCCTCCCTTCTTCTGACCCTCACGGGGGAGCCTGTGTCCTGGGCTGCCCGGGGCTCGGTGCGTGGCTGACTGGACCCCCCGCAGAGCATCCCTGGTGGCCTTGGGGGATGGACGGCAGGCCCCACTCTCTGCCCACCCTCCGTATTTTATCACACCCTTAAGAGACACAGTGTGTCTGCTGTGTGGCTGGAGACGCTGCCCTGTTGTGATCACAGTGGGACCCCGCAGGGGGCCCCGGGACAGGCGCAGCCAAGCAGTCCTGGGCGCCAAAGCAGTCCTGGGCGCCGGGAGCCAGGGGGGAGCTGCAAGGTCGCCTCCCTACACTCATAACTGTGCTTGGTTGGAGAGTGTGTTGTGGAGAATTGAACTAAACAGGAAAGGAAATAAGAGAAAACAAAAATTAAATGAAGAAACTCGGCTCCTGGTGAGCCATGGGGGACACTGCATTCGCAGTGGTAACATTTTGGGGAATGACTCTCTGCCCGTGGGAGACAGCCTGAATGACAGGCCCGGCACCCAAGTCTGCAGCTGCGGAACATTGGTGGAAAGGGCTTTAAAAGCACTGCCTCTCCGCAAGATTGTAATTTGCTCCCTGAGAAATACTGTGTCGCTTTAAGTCACTTCCATAGGAACAGAATCACTTTCCGAGGGGGGAGTCTTCCCAGAAGAAATGGAAACGCAGAGACCCTCTGGGCATGCACGCGGCCTGCTTTGGGGGTGCCAGGGTGGGGCGATGGGCTGTGCTCCCTGCGCGCGATTCCCAGGAACCCGGGCAGGCGGTGAGGTAGGGGGGCTGCCTCCTTCCTGGGCGCCTTGGCCTCTGAGCCCCACCTGGGCAGCCTTCTCTGCTTGCGTCAAATTCTGTGAGCAGGGAGAGGGCCTGCTGAGGCTGCATGCCCCTGGGTCCTCTGGAGGGACGGGGGCACCATCGGAGGAGGGGTAGTCACGCCCGCCTTGCGCTCCGGTGCCCAGGGGCTTTTCCTTCTCCCGGAGGATCCGCAGTCCCTGCCCAGAGCCCCTGCTTCCTGCAGACACCTCTGATTCTGGTCGTCGGCACACGAGGTGCCCAGGCCGGGCCTCCTCCACCCTCGCCAGCCTCCACCCCCACCTCTGCCAGCCCTGAGGTCTGGGCCCCCTCCTGAGTGGGCTTCTCGTGTTGGGAGATGTCGCTGGGCCCCAGGTGTCGGCGTCACTGGGGTCGTCGACTGGTGTGTACGTGCAGCGTTGCAAAATAGTTGAAAATAAGCCGCCCGAGAAAATCACCACCTCCGTTTCATCCTGCCTTCCCCATCTCCAGAGCCGGGTGCCCTTGCTCTGCCTGGAGAGGATGGCCCACGGAGCGCACCCTGCCTGCGTCCCGGCCAGTCACCCAGAGGCAGCGTGGGTGCGGAGCTGCCCTGTGGAATCAACTTCTCCCCACGTAGGAGCTGCTGCTGCTGTTTCTGAGTTTGAAGAGAGCAAGTCCCTTAGACACAAAAGGAGGTGGCAGTGTGCTGTGTTTGGATTTTCAAAGTGAAGAAAGTAGTTAATCAATTTATGGTGATCAGAGCGTGGAACTTGCAGTGAAATCATGGACTTGTTCTGCGGAGTCCTCAGGAGCCAAGAGGCCTGTAAATATTTCAAGGAATGTAATTCATGGCTGTTTGCCGACGGGTGACCAGCGTCATGAGGAGAAATGGCCCCCCATGCGTGTGTGCTGAGGGAAACCCCATGTGTCCATCCACCGAGGGGTGTGAGCTGGGACTGCTTCCCCTCACCCTGTGCTACCTTAACATGCTAAAGAGGACCTCAGGTCAGCGGCCACCGCTGCCTAGGGAACTCTAGGGGCAGTCCCTTGTAAATCCTCCGTTCCCATGGCTCTGCAGTGTGAGGGATACATGCCTGTAAATGCTCCCTCTTCCCCTGTATGGTGTACACGCCGTGGGCATTGACATAGGTCCTCAGGGAGTTTGCTAGCACTGGAACCGCTGTCTGCCTGGAAGGCATTGGCTAGTTCCCACCTGGGGGCCCAACCACCTCCGTGAACACTGGCCCGGCGGGGTGGGGCAGGCCGGGAAAGAGCCCAGGGCCCATGCAGGCGCAGGCTGAGCCAGGACCCCTTTGCTAACGTCAGGCCCCTGAACCCAAGAGAGCAAACCAGAGCAGGTGGACGGAACTGGGCGTGTGGGTCCCTGCTTGTCTGGGACTCAGCTCTGAAGGCAGCAGGTACGAAGGAAGGTCTCCCCGGAGAATACCTGAATTCCAAACCACAGGCTCGCCCGCCCACTCCCTGGGGACTGGACCACCCCACACTGAAACGCTGACCTGAGAGCCCGCATGCCTCGCCCCAGAGGAGGCCAGCTCTCTCTAGAGGGACACATCTTAAGCACAATCTTGAAGTTGTAAATGTCTATGTGTCTGAAATGTCAGAAACAAAATTAAAAGGCAGTTGAAAAACAGAAAAAAATTTCTCACCAATAGGATCAAAGCCTATCTTCTATCTTTAATAAAAAAAGAACTCACACAAATAGCGAAAAAGAAAATGTTCTCATAGGAAATGGATACAGACAGAGGAGCCGGGTCGCAGACAGACTGAGGCAGCTGTATCTCCCGATCGTCAGCCAGGAGTCAGAGATTAAAGCAGGTGCTCTGTCCAATTAGCAATGCTCCTACAAATGTGCTTCCTTAAAACTGATGAAGCTGGCATAAAACAGGCATTGTTCCTTCGTTCTTCGTTCTCAAGGGGTGCAGTATGTAACCTTTTTGGAGTGCAATTGATAATTGATGTTAAGAGCCTCACCTTGGTCCAGTGATTCGCCTTGTTTGCAACCATGGGAGAATGAATTGTCAGCAACCCAAACATCCGGTGTTAGAACACTTCCCTAGGTCACAGTACATCACTGGTTGGAGTATTTTATAACTACCAAAAATCATATTTTCAAATAATAATTACTGATGTGGGAAAATGCTCTCAGTATATTTCTGTATGGGGGACAAGCCTCTGAAATTACAGCCCCTCACGCACATACACATACATTTCTATATATGTGTGTGCGTACAGGACCACATCTGTGTGCATGCATATCTACAGTTGTACATGCATATAAATACCCCCCCACATATAAAATTCACATGTGGTCTACATATGCACATGCATGTAGGACACATACCACCACAACCTACATATGCATGGGTATATAAAATACAACCTACCTACATACATGTGTACATTACACAGCTACATGCATGTGCACAAAACACCTACATATATACATAAGTATAAGACACATATATACATTTATATGTGCCTTTGCACGTAAAAATGGTCCCTGTTTTGCTTGTTGTTACACAGAAAATGGACGGAGCAGAAACACATCATTGTGTTCATGATACTTATTATGGATTATTTTTATTTTCTTGTTTGAACATTGTTTAAAATCTCCATGTCCTCTCCATATGTGGTCAGCGTGGTTTCTACTCAGCTGATTATGGGTGAAGGAGGTGAGGGCCCTCTGTGAGGTCCTGGCTTGGTGCCTGTGTTGGTGGCAGTGGGCTCTGCAACCCCTGACCTTCCCCTGGAACTGGGATCTCCGTGTACTCCCGTGTCCCTCAGCTCATACGCATGCACTCGTGCAGACAGGAATGCATGCCTGTCATCTGCACCTGCAGTGCCCAGTGACGCCGTGCACAGGGCCTGCACATCTTTCTGTGATGAGTGAAGGAGTCCCGTTGGGAGTGGGGTGGGGGTCGAGGGGCTGTGTGGAGCGAGGGGAGTGGACTGGGAGCACCTCCCAGTGCCAGCAGAAGCTGCACACGAGCTGTTGAGATCACCCTTCCATTCCTCGTTCCCTTCTAGTCCCCCTTCCCGGGAAGTTCCCCCTCCTCGAACCACTCGGCCAGAGCAGCCGTGTGCATGTCACTTGTTGGGCCAAACTGCCTTCCCCGTTTCATCAGTTTCTCTGTGGAGGAGGGGAGGGTGAGGTCATTTCTAGTAACCATGCGGGATCTGTGAGCAAATGGGGCTGGTTCCAATATGTGACCTTTCCCCCTCCCAGCTGGTTGTCCCATCCCTGGGCCCAGCTCTGCACCCTGCAGGCCTCCCTAAGTGGGCCATACTATAGGCCCAGAGATCTTTGGTAAAGAAATAGCTAGTGAAGACATAAAAGAATCTCTGATTTACACAGACAGAATGACAGAACCCTGAGCCCGCAGCTGTGCGGACACCTCACTCAGAGTGCAGAAGCCGGGTGTGGCTGCCGTGCTGGTGGTGGTGTGCTCAGCCCCTGGCCACGGCCCCTGGGGTTCCCTTCTGTCTGAG